TGTTAATGTCTAGTGGACAGAGCACTCAGATTAAATAATTGTTCAAATGTTCAATTCCAAAAAACCCCTCCGACCTTCTTGAAATTACCATTTTACCCCTGAACGTACTGTAATTTACCAATCTACCCCCGTCAGCTATAACCAATTTACCTAATCAATTCCAACCAAAATATAGCAAATATGACCAATTTCTAAACAAATTCAAACAACAAATCACATGAACACAGATTGAACAACATCAAATTAATGGGAATAAGTTAACCATATTGGGAACCAATCCTGGTTAACTTAGACAAAAAATGAACGAGCAAAGAGACAACAATATTAACAACAAAGATACATGATTCAAACTAAATCAAAAATTAAAAACCCAAAACATAAACTCACATTAAATCACTGGATTAAAAACAAACTTTAAACAAAAATGAATTAAATCTATCTTAAACAACAAACATGACGGATTCAAATGATTTAAACTAACACTCTTCTATACTAAATCCTTTTAAAATTAACAGAACAAACTAAAGACATAATTAATTGAACTTCAACTTAAATCTAAAAACATTTTAACTACTAACACTTTCTGCCTAAAAATAAACAAGAAAAAAAATGAAACAAAATGAAACAAACTGAAGAAAAATAAGAAAAACGATAGACACGAATTGGTTAAAACGACTAACCGGATTGGAACCACGAACAACGATTGACCAACGACGAACTCGAACGGACCTCACCCCGGACAGAACTTCTGGGCGATTTTGGAGCGTTTTCAGGTGGGCTTCAGCGTGTGTTTTTGTGTGTGTTTTTTGGTCAGTTATGGTGATGAGGGGGAAAGGGCAGTCGTTTTGGACGTGAGGGTGGCGACTGGGTGAGCTGAAGAATGGCGAGACAGCAGCTGCGTTTGCTGGGGTCACTGGTTGCTGCTGTCGAACGACGAGACCACAGCTGGGGGTGGTCATTTGACGATGGACGCTGGTGTCGACTGAAGATGATGAAGCAGTGGACGACGACGAAGACGCAGCAGTAGCAGCAACAGAAACGAGCTCAATGGAGGAGAAAAATGGCAGTGGAGAAGAAGACGCAGCAGCAGCCATGGGTGTCGAGCTCAAGCTCGAGCTTGACGAAGANCTGGGGGTGGTTGTTTGACGATGGACGCTGGTGTCGACTGAAGAAGATGAAGCAGCGGACGACGACGAAGACGCAGCAGCAGCAACAGAAACGAGCTCAATGGAGGAGAAAAATGGCGGTGGAGAAGAAGACGCAGCAGCAGCCATGGGTGTCGAGCTCAAGCTCGAGCTTGACGAAGAAGATGAAGCAGTGGCAGCGGGGTCTGTTTGGACGTAGCAGAAGCAACAATGGTGAAACAACCATGGACGTTGGTTGTTTTCTGCCATGGATGTCGAGACGGAGCTCAAAGGTGGTCGTTTGGTTTTAATGGCGGATGGGGAGTCGACTTGGGTGGTCCGACGACAGGGGAAGCTGGACGAAATGGAGCTCGAAGGTGTGTGCGTGTGTGTGTATCGACATGGGGGGGGGCAACAACCATGGTTGGCTAGGGTTTTTGGGGTGTTTGGTATGGTGAAGGAGAAGAGAGAAAGAGAGCGGGCGGATGGGATTTTAGGGTTTTTGTTTTTTTTGTTTTGTTTTTGTTTTGTTTTTTGGGAAAAAAAAGAAAAATGAAGAGGGGTTATGGGGCGGACCGGGTCAACCCGTGTTGAGATAGACCGGGTCATGGGGAAGGTTGGGTATTTTTTTGGGCCTGTGGCTTGAATTTGAAGAAGTGCCCAATTCCGATTTTCTTTATATTTTTTGCTTTCTTTTCTTCTTTTATTTTTCTAAAACTAAATTCTAAAATTCCTTAAATTATCATATAGAACTGAATTAAGTTATAAAAGCGCAAATTAACTCCCAATAATAATTAACACACAATTAAGTAATAATTAAGCATAAAATTGTACAATTGGACATTAAATGCTAAAAATGCAAACGATGCATATTTTTGTAATTTTCATTCTTGTAAAACAAATTTAATTATTCCTAATTGTAGAATTAAATCCTAAATGCAAATGCGACATATTTTTGTATTATTTTTTTATTAATTTAACAAATAAACATGCACAGAAAAATACAAATAATTATCCAAAATGTCACAAAAATTCTCAAAATTGTGCACCAAGGAAAATTGTTTTATTTTGAATTTTTGGGAGTAATTCTTTCATAGGGCAAAAATCACGTGCTTACAATGTCATTCGGGCTGACAAATGCCCCAGCAACATTTATGGATTTGATGAACCAGGTTTTCAAGCCATATCTGGATTCCTTTGTGATTGTTTTTATTAATGATATCTTGATCTACTCCTGCAACCGAGAGGAGCATGAGCCGCATCTTCGGATCGTTCTTCAGACTCTTAGAGACAACCATTTATATGCTATGTTTTTGAAATGCATATTGTATCAGTTGCTTTCTTGGGTCACATTGTATCAGTAGAGGGTATTCAGGTGGATCTGAAGAAGATTGAGGCAGCCAAGAACTAGCCCAGACCCACATCAGCTACAGAGATCCGGAGTTTCTTGGGATTGGCAGGCTATTACCGTCGGTTTGTGGATGGGTTCTCATCTATAGCAGCCTCGCTGACCAGGTTGACCCAGAAGGGTGACCCATTCAGATGGTTAGACGAGTGTGAAGTGAGCTTTCAGAAGCTCAAGACTGTTTTGACTACAGCGCCATTATTGGTGTTGCCCACAGGTTCAGGATCTTATACAGTATATTGTGATGCATTTCGTATTAGACTTGGTGCGGTATTGATGTAGGGTAGCAAGGTTATTGCATATGCTTCACGACAGTTAAAGGTTCTCGAGAAGAATTATCCAGTTCATGACTTGGAGCTGGTAGCCATTGTTCACGCGCTGAAGATTTGGAGGCACTATCTATATGGCGTGTTGTGTGAGGTGTTCACGGATCATAAAAGTTTGCAGTATTTGTTCAAACAAAAGGAGCTCAATTTGAGGCAGAGGAGGTGGTTGGAGCTATTGAAAGACTATGATATCACCATCTTGTATCATCTCGGAAAGGCCAATGTAGTGGCTGATTCTTTGAGTAGGAAGTCGGCTAGTATGGGCAGCCTTGCATACATTCCAGTCGGTGAGAGGCTGGTTGCTTTAGATGTTCAGGCTTTGGCCATCAATTCGTGAGGTTGGATGTTTATGAGCCCAGTCGTGTTCTAGCTTGTACAGTCACTCGGTTTTCCTTGTTTGAGCGTATCAGAGAGTGTTAATATGATGAACCTTATTTGCTTATCCTTATAGATATAGTGCGGCACCGAGAGTTCAAGCAGGTTACGGTGGGAGATGATGGAGTTTTGAGGATGCAGGGTCGTGTTTGTGCACCTTATGTGTATGGACTTTGTGAGTTGATTCTAGAAAAAGCCCACGGTTCCCGATATTCTATTCATTTGGGCGCCGCCAAGATGTATCAAGACTTGTGGAAGCATTATTAGCGGAGGAGAATGAAGAAGGATATATTTGCATATGTAGCTCGGTGTCTAAATTGTCAGCAAGTAAAGTACGAGCATCAGAGACCCGATGGTTTGCTTCAGAGGATTGAGATTCCTAAGTGGAAGTGGGAGCGTATCACTATGGATTTCATTGCTGGACTCCCATGGACTCGGAGGAAGTTTGATGCAGTTTGGGCTATTGTGGATTGACTGACCAAGTCAGCGCATTTCATTCCTATGGCAGTTTCCTATTCTTCAGAGCGGTTGGCAAAGATTTATATCCGTGAGATCGTTCATCTTTACCGAGTGCCAGTATCTATCATTTCTGATCGAGGTACGCAGTTCTCCTCCATTTCTATAGGGCAGTACAACGTGAGTTAGGCACGCAGGTTGAGTTGAGCATAGAATTTCATCCTCAGATGGACGGATAATCCGAGCGCACTATTTAGATATTAGAGGATATGCTCCGCGCTAGTGTTATTGATTTCAGAGGCTCTTGGGATCAGTTCTTGCCACTTACGGAGTTTGCCTACAACAAAAGTTATCAATCGAGCATCCAGATGGCTCCCAATGAGGCATTATATGGTAGATGGTGTCGATCGCCGGTCGAATGGTTTGAGCCGGGGGAGGCTCGATTATTGGGTACAGATTTAGTACATGATGCCTTGGATAAGGTTAAGATCATTTAGGATATACTTCGTGCAACTTAGTCCAGGAAGAAGAGTTATGCTGACCGTAGGGTCCGTGATGTTGCATTCATGTCGGAGAGAGAGTGTTGCTCCGTGTGTCACCCATGAAGGGTACAATGAGATTTGGAAAGAAGGACAAGTTGAGTCCTAGATACATCGGGCTTTTTGAGATTCTTCATAGAGTGGGTGAGGTGGCTTACAAGCTCGCATTGCCACCCAGTTTACCAGCAGTGCATCCGGTATTCCACGTGTCCATGCTCCGGAAGTATCAAGGTGATCCATCCTACGTGTTAGATTTCAGCTCTGTCCAGTTGGACAAGGATTTGACATACGCGAAGGAGCCGATAGATATTCTAGACCAGCAGGTTCGACAGTTAAGGTCGAAGAGTTATCTTCAGACCGAGTGCAGTGGACAGGTCAGCCTATTGAGACAGCTACTTGGGAGTTCGAGTCCGACATGCGGAGTAGATATTCCCACCTTTTTCCCAGCTCAAGTACTTTTCTATGTCCGTTCGATGAAGAACGATTGTCTTAGAGGTGGAGAATGTGATGACCCAAAAGGTCATCATATGATTTAAAACTGAATTCTATATTCTGAGGCCTTAAAAACATCATTCTATCCTCCTCGATTTGCGTGCATAGTCTGGGCGTGTTTCCAGAAAGCTTCTATGTTGAAAATAGATGAAAATAATAAGTTTTGCCTTTAAAAGTTGATTTGGTTGACTTCGGTCAACGTTTTGAGTAAATGGACCTGGACTTGTGTTTTGATAGTCCCGGTGGGTCCGTATCAAAATATGGGACCTGGGCGTATGCCCGGAATCGAATTCCGAGGTTCCTAGCTCGAGATATGTTTTTTTGATGAAAATTAAAAGTCTGAAAATTTAATGGTTTTAAGAATTTGGTTAATGTTTGATCTTGATGGTATCAGGTCCATATTTTGGTTCTGGAGCCCAGTACAGGTTCATTATAATATTTAAGTCATGTCTGTGAAGTTTGGTGAGAAACGAAGTTGGTTTGACGTGATTCGGACGTTCGGTGTAAAAATAAAAATTTCAAAGTGTTCTTGAGAATTTCATTTAATTTGGTGCTAAATTCATAATTCTAGGAGTTATTTTGGCGATTTGATCACGTGAGCAAGTTCATATGATGTTTTAAGACTTGTGTGCATGTTTGGTTTGGAGACTCGAGGGCTCGGGTGAGTTTCGAATAGGCTAGGAGTAATTTGAACTTAAGAACTCTTGCTGGTGTGCTTCAGGTCTGTAGATCTTGCATTTGTGAGGTCTGGCTCGCAAATGCGAGCCTCACATTTGAAAAGAAGCTTCGCATTTGCGAGCAGTCGGGTTGGGGTTGGAGATCGTAATTGCGAAGAATTGGTCGCATTTGCGATCAACTCAGGCCACATTTGCGAACAAAAGCTCGCATTTGTGAAGGTTTTCTCGCAATTTCTGCAGCTGTGTAAAACCTAACTTAGACGGGATTTTTGCTCATTTCTTAAAATTTTGAAAACAAGAAACCCTCTCGGCGATTTTTCAGAGACCATTTCTGCCCCAAATCATAGGCAAGTGATTCTTAACTAATTTCTTTCAATCTTTCACTTCATTTTACAAGACTTCAACCTAGAATCTAAGGTTTTTATGGTGGAATTGGGGATTTTTGGGTAAAAACTAGGGATTTCGAAATTTGGGAATTTAGATCTCAAATTGAGGTTGGATTCCAAAACCAATTACATATCTGGGCTCGGGGGTGAATGGGTAATCAGGTTTTGGTCAGATTTCGGGTTTGGACCAAGCGGGCTAGGGTGTTGACTTTTGCTGACTTTTTCAATATGGCCTAAATTGAATTCTTTGCAATCGTGGGTAGTTCCTAAGGCTTAATTTGGATCATTTGGTTGGTGATTTTCTAGATTTTGTTGGTCCAGAGGCTTGTTTGAAGGGAAAAGCTATGGTTGAGCTTTGAGTTGGCCATTGGAGCGAGGTAAGTGTCGTGGTTAACCTTGGCTTGAGGGATTAGGTATTGTTTTGCCTATTTGCTACGTGTTTGGATGTTGAGTACAATGTATAGGTGAAGTGACAAGTACCTATGCATTGTTGT